CGGGGGGAGGGGGGGGGGGGGGGGAGGGGGGGGGATGAAGGGGGATCGGGAGGTGAGGGAGGATGTTGCGGGCAATGACAGCTGGATGGGAGTGAAGGGGAGATGGGGGAGATGTGGGGACAATGATGGGTGGGACGTGGGGTCGTGGGGGCAATGACAGGTGGGAGGGATAAGCAGGGATGTGGGGGGCTGAAGGAGGATTGGGGAGTGAGGGGGGATGTGGGGAGGAAATGGGGCAGTGAGCCCCACCACCCACGTGGGTGAGGGGTGTGAGCACTTGTGTCACTGCAGTCATGTTGGCATGCCAGGATGACTGTCAGCGTGACTGTCTGCATGCCACTGCAAGGGTTTTTGTCTGCATCAGGGTGTGTGTCCGTGTGTCTGTGCACAAGCATGCATGGCAGTGACACCCGGGAAGCTGTGCGTGAGTGTCAGTGTCAAGAGCGTAACCGTGCCTGTGAGCCCCACCGCTGCACAGGGCAGTCGGGGGCGCAACGGGGGGACACTGTCACACCTCTGCTGCTGTGCATGCCCACAGTGGCTGGGGACAGCGAGAACATGTGTGTCACACACACACCCTAGGCTGGGCATACATGGCTGCACACTCACCCAGAGGCAGGGGGTGTGTGCATGCCCAGCCACGGTCCCCCCAGCTCTGTCCTTCCAAAATGCTCCACTGAGTCACATACAGCAACATGGCCAGGCACAGAGCAAGGTCAGAGCAGACACACAGGGCAGCAACCTGTATTTTCATTGCCTGTAACCTGTAACTACCCTGCACAAGGCAAAGCACAGCCCTTCCCAGTCTGTGATCCCAGCCCTGTGTCTCCCCAAGGTGCAGGAGGAGGGGGTGAGCCAGGACTGTCCTCCTCCTTCAGCCAAAGCCTAGAGAAATCAGACACGGGGCTAAGCCGAAAGGAGGCTTTTTCATCAAATACTTGCTCAGTCAAGAGGGAAATGGAGAGACACTGTTTCAGGTCAAAACAAACCATCACCACTATACAAAGCAAATTGCCTTTTAATATGTAACCAAATACAGTGGGTGAGTTTCAGGACATCTTTTTCTCCTCAGCATCATCCGTCTGCCAACAGCAATACAAAGAAATCACAAAGCGTAAAATGAGACACTGCCACAAAAATAGATGTTATATGCACATACACAACATATAAAGAGGTAATATACAAGTAACAGAGCACCAGGGGTCTGTCCCTGCCCCAGCCAGCAGAGCCTGGCGGGGTGCCCCTGCCCCAAGGAACACTTCTTGCAGGACCGGGAGCCCTCAGCACCCCCTGGCTGGGGCCGTGCACCGTTTCATTGCGTTACAGGTGCCAGGGCAACAAAGGCTGGTGAGCGGAGCCCATCCTGCTGCTTTTTGGGTCTGCTGATTTCTAAGGCTCTGTATTTGGGCCAGTCAGCTCCTTGCCCCATCCTAGGTGCTCCTCCAGGCCACTTCGGAGGGGTTTGGCACGTTTCCAGCATCACTCTGCTCCCAGCCTGCAGCCAGGAGCTCGACCCTTCCTGAGCACCATCCTGTGCTGCAAAGCAGCCCTGGGAGCCCCGCCACAGCAGGGCACGAAGGAAGAGACCCAGGGAGATGAGGCCACCCCACACCAGGACACATGCAGGCTTGCTGCTGGGCTAGCCCTGCACTAATTATCTGGTTTTACTCAGTTGGCAAACAGTACATGCTTAATGCTGGTATGAGAAGCAGACATGATGCTTAGGGTGATGGGTGCAAGGGAAAGATGTGGAGGTCCCCAACCTCTCACCTCTCTGACCAACCTGGCTTGCCAGGTCTGGTCTTGAACCAAACCCACTCACCCCCACCACCCCATCATTGCTTTTCCTGTGGGTTTTCCCTGATGGATCCGGGAGAATTTGCCCCGTGGTGGGAAAAAAAAAATTCACATCTTAGGTTAAAAAATACAAAAGAAAGAGAATTCAACAAAGTGGTTGTGCTGGTCTCCAGGACAACAGTTTGAAGGGCACAAAGTTGGTCCGAAGTGGAGAAGCAGAAAGCAGTCACTGCATCCCTTCCTGCCTTTCTTTCTCACTGCTTTGGCAAAACCACACCATCCTGAGCAACTGCGTCTGATGGCACTGCTGAGCACAGGAGAGGAAGGCAAGGACAAGCCAGTGACAAACTCAAGGGGAGCTTCACTGGACCTTCTCTGCCCTGCTGTAAGGGAATGTCACAGCCTGGTACCCGCTTCTCCCAAACTCCCTGGGAAGGCTGCTGAGGCACCCAAAATCCCAAGCTGCCTCTGCTCTCACCAACTCCACCTCCCACAGAGACCCTTCAAATGCTGCTGAGCTTCTCAAAGTGCTTGGTAACATCCCCTTTTCTAAAGGAACTGGGTCAGCAGGGGCTCGGGAGGAGGAGAGGAGATGGAGAGCACAGGAGGGAAGGAGCAAGATGCAGAGCAGAGGGGCTGAGACGATGCAGGGTACTGAACAGCAACATGACAAGGGTGGCCCACACACACAGCCAATAAGGAGACCACGCTGCATCACGAAACAGCAATTCAGTACTGTGGTGCCTGTAAGGTCAGCAGGTCTGTCTGCAAGAGGTTGCCAGGAATGCATGGACTGGCAAGCAGAAGGTCCTTTCCTTGACCCCAAGAGTCTGACAAAGCTCCCTGCTGGCAGGGCTGCATCTCCCTGAAAGACTTTTCATGGAAAAAACGCAAAACATTTCATCCTAGGTTGCCTGAAAGCTCTGCTAGGGCACCTTGTTTCAGGCACTGGAAGACAAAATTCTGAGTGACCAGGAAGCATGAGCCACCACTCACAGGTGTGCATGGCCACAAGCGCTCATAATTGCTGGTGGCTTTTCAAAATGTGCCTCCCAGTTCACAGTGAGGCTTCAAAACAGTGAGGCTTTTCAAAATGTGCCTCCTAGTTCACAGTGAGGCTGCCTACAACTGATGCTGTGCCTGCATCCCCCCAGCACCACCCCTTGCTCCATCCGTTTGAGCCGGTGCACCCCTCAGGTCCTGCAGCCCTCGCACCTCACCTTGAGCTGGACCTCACAGGCACAGAGTGGCTGCCCACCCGCAAAGGATGCTGATGGCAAGCCAGGGCCCCGCTCAGAGGAGGGCGGCACTCCTGCATCCACCTTCACAGGGAGAGCTGCTGAGCACCTCAAAACTGAGCCTGGTGAGAAATGTGATGCTCCAGGGTGGCTCTCACTGGGGCAAGGCAAAGTGCCCAGCTGCTGGGGAAGGGATATTTTAGAGACATCCCTGAGAAAGGCACTCTCATGTCCAAAAAGGTTATTTCTGTACTGGCACTCAGGCAGCAACACGTGGTCCAGCTGGTGGGTGCTGGGACCCATGCCAGACCCAAGCAGGAGTCTGCTGTGTTGCACCAGACCTGCCCCACCACATCTCTGAGGAGCTGTCCCAGCCTGCGGGAGCCATGGCTGGTGCTGCATGAACCACTTGTCCTGCTCCCCTTCCCAGGAAAAGCTGGGCTCCACAGGGAGTATAGGGGGCTGTTTGGGGAAGCCACCATCCCCTGGCAGCTGGCTGACTCCTAAGGGTGGTGATGCTCCTGCAGGGAGAGCAGTATCCTCATCATGGAGGTCCCCAGCCCTGGAAAACAAGAACTTATGCGAGCCCTGTGCAGGGCAAGGAGCAGGTTGGGAGGGCAGCAACCACAGCCCAGCCCCCAGGGGGCTCTTGGGGCTGCCAGCCAGCAGAGTTCCTGACTCCAGGTGTGTTCCTGCTGCTTCCAGCTGTTTCGGAGCTGTGGCCATCCAAGTCTCTAATGGGCAACCTCTAGGAGAAGTGCTCTGTCCCAAAGCGTTGGCTGGGTTTGTCTGGACTGGGACATTGTGCCACCGAGACACCAGGGCATTTGAGTGCAATGGAGGCAGGCAGCTTGAGCCCACCAGCTCACACCCAGGCTGGCTCTGATCATCAGGAATAGTGTTATCTACAGGAGCAGAGGTGGTAACTTCAGCTTGAAGCACTTGTCCTGGGTTTGCCAGCTGAAGTGCTACAGAGGACTTGCTGTTAGAGACCAGGACATCCAGAACAGTCCCTCCCACCAGCTCGGATGGGTTAAATGGGACCTGCTGTTCTGGTTGAGCAGAGATGACCTCAGACGTAACAGAGACTAGAGAGACCACAGCATCTTGGCCTCGTGCACCAGGTGCCTGGGGCTGTGGTGGGGCTTGAAACGCTGAATTAGTTGCCCAGAAGTGCTGGAAATGAGCTGCAGCACTGTTTTCCTCATTGCAGGGTGACACACTGCAGTGTGGGAAGTCCATGCTCTTCCCAGCATCCTCCCTAAGGAGCATCTGCTCCACATAGGATGTCACCTGGGTGCCTAGCCTCTCACCAACCTCCTGAGCTGGTGGCTCCTCCTCTTCACCCAAGCTGAGCAGAGCCTCCTCCCACTGCTGCAGCTCTGCATTGTCCACACTGAGGCTCTGGAGGGTCTGGCAGATATTTCCGTCCACCTCACTCTTCTCAAAGAGGGTTTTGATAACAACCAGGAGGGAGTCGCTGTCCTCCTTGGCATCACTGACTTCCTCATTCTGGCTCAGCCCATTGGGCTCAGCAATGGGATCTGGCAAGAACTGAGGCACGTTATCAGCGTGGGAGATGTATATGGACGCATCCTGCTTCATCATGGCCCCAAGAAGAGAGTTAGGGTCTACCAAGCGCTGCCCCGTGTGGGAGTCTGCCTGTGTCTGCAACTCCTCCTTAGCCTGGAAGGAGTCCAGGAACTCGGGAAGGTCATTCCCGTATAGGACTGCTTCCCCTGTGGCAAAGCTAAAAGGCAGCTGCAGGTTTCTCTTCCGCAGATGTTCCTCCCCTTCTTCATTCCTTCAGGGCGGAAGGAAAAAGAGATGGAAACAGCATGAGCCAGGCAAAACCACCCTCCCAACAGTGAGACAGGAGCTCACAGCCTGCCCTGGCTTTTCTAAGGAAAAGGGTGCTGGATTGGGCTGGCTACGATGCTGCTGGTGGAGGACTGGGGCTCTGGGGAGCCCGTGGGGAGGTCTGCATGGCTCAGGGAAGGCCTATGTGTCCAGGGCTCACCCCAGGCAGGAGTGAGCGTGCCTGCTGTTTTGCTCATGCCCTCCTGCTACAGGAGAGCACATGCTGCCAAGTGCCAACCGTGCAACCCAACCACCCTTTCCTCAACCCTCACTGCCTCCACATGTCCCGAGCAGCCCCATGGACACCCACACCAAGAGCAGAACACAGCTGGAGACCCAGTGATACTCACGACAGGGCTCGCTGCCGGGCAATGATGCAGTCAGGCTTGCCACCTTTGTACACCAGCCGGGCATTGGCCTGCAACCACACCCAGCCGCCCTTCTTGGTCAGCAGCCGGAAAACAGTCAGCCCGCTCTCCCCCGTCTTCATCACTGGGACAGGGAGAGAAGAGAGGCAGCACAGACACGGTTACTCCACGGGGGCAGACAAATGGCATGGGCAAGATGCCACAATGTTGAGCATCACTTTGCACCTATGCTATGGGGGCAGAATAGGCAGGACGCAGCCAGTACGTGATGCCACATGCGGTGCTGCTCCCCTGCCAGCTCATCAAGCAGGTACCACTCAGGAGGTGAGAGCCTTTACCAGAGCTGCTCCAGATCCAGGACAGACAGCCCACCACGGAGCAATGGTACTGGCACAGTCAGAGCTGCACCGGTGGGAGAGGTGCTCCCAAGGTGCTGCAAGGGCCCCCACAAACACACCCACCCCGCCAGCCGGCCCAGCCAGCGCTGCTGCTCCCCCCAGCACTTACTTCTCACGTGGTTCTCCGCGCAGTACATCATGTCGGCTGCATGCACGAATTGGTACCCGGACCCCCTCCTGCACAGCTCCGTTTCTGTATACCCCAGGACAACCTTCCCCCTGGAAACAGTACAGAGACGCAGTGACACCACGGATGGAGGGAGGTATCCCCCAGTTGCACCCCACCAGCCAGACATGATGCCCTGCCCAGTGCCCAGGCAGCTAGCCAGAGCCTCCCACTTTGGGTGGTGCAACCCTCCATCCTGGGCTGAGCTGCATCCCCTCTTCCACAAAACCACTCCGTGCTGGGTTTGCTGGGCTAAAACACAGCAGCCAAGAAGTACTGGCGCCCAGTTAATCTGCTCCCTGTGTTACTGGGGGGCTGCAGTGGATGGACAAAAGCATCAGACACCTTGCCACCGGAGCTGGGTCAGAAGTGCCCTGCTCCCACAGGCTCTGGTTTCCTGTCCAGCACCAGGGATTTTGCCACAGGGAAGGTGAGAGATGCCCTACCAGGAATCACAGGCCATGGGAGTGAAGTCCAGCTTGTGCTTTGTCTGGAAGATCAGCGTCTTGGTCCGAAGCTCCAGGATGGAGAGTGGCTGGAGGGGAGTTGCGATGGCAAAGAGAGCAAGTGGGGACCTGTCCAATGCCCTCTTCTGCTGCCCGAGAAGGAACTTCAAGCGCCCGTGGAAATTCAAGGCCTTAGAGGTGATTAGAAAGTGCAGGTGTGAAGAGAACAGGGCAATGGGAACTGGCTGTGCTCCCACCCCTACGGGACACGACTGGCCCCTAGGGAGCACACTGGGGGTGGAGGGGTGTCCCAGCGTGGGCCTGCATTACCAGAAATCCCGAGGAGTTATCCAGCAAGCAGCGGAAGCGGCAGGTGAAGCTCCTCTCCGTGAAGGAGGGCTTCTCGGGCTGGAGGTGCTGGGGGCTGGATGCGGCACTGCATCCAGCCGGCAGTGGCTGGTCACCAGGAAGCACTGGGAAACCAAAGGGAAAATGAAGCTTTCCAAGCTGCGCACCTTGAACTCATGGCCTTGCAGACCTGCTCCTGGTGGAGACTTTGCTGCTCAAGTAAACCCATGATCTTCACAAAAGGGGTAAGACCTTGCCATGGGAAATTACCAGTTCACAATGGTTTCTGGTCCCCATAAGCTCAGCTTGCCTCCCAGACAGGAGCAAGGCAACAAGCCACCCCCAATGAAATAAATAGGATTTCAAACGCTGAAAAGCAAAAAGGCTTGGAAAGAAATGTCTCCAGCCCTCCAGCACAGCAAAAGACAGCACGTCATTGCTATGGGCTGCTTTTGGTGACAGGTGGCTGTGCCAACCCCTGGGACGGTTGCGAGCCCCAGGGGGAGGCTATGGGATGCTCCTCAGCACAGGGCTGTGGTTGGTGGCTATAAATGCCACCAGAAGGGTTTTCCAGCACTGGGTGGCCATGCAGAGGCGTCTGGCTGGTCCCCAGGATTGACACTGGGGACCGCCCCAGCACTCACCATTGGCAGCATGCTGGGTGCTGCCAGACACTGGTGGCCCATGCAGCTGGCAGCGGAAGGAGGCTCTGTCATCTGTGTGGATCAGCTCGTACACGCTCTGGTAGATGAGATCTGA